TCAACTCTATTTTCTAAAAACTGATCTCCATTATGCCATTAGTAAATCCTATAGATAAAGACATATTATACATAGTGAGAAATTCAATTATAAATTATCCTTTACCTAAAAGGCTAATTCCAGGTTTGGAGAGAATGTGAGATTATAAATTTGCAAATTTATGGAGAATTGTGGAGGTATTCAATAACAAAAAATATACAATTGCATATAAAACTACAGTTTGTTCAACTATTCTTTTTTGAATTTTATTTTATTTATTTACTTTTACAGAACAGGTTCTTATTAATCTATTTTACACATATTAATGTATTATTGCTCAACTATTATTATTTTAATTAACTGAAATGACCCTATAATACTTTTTCCTCTATTTTTTAAATGAATACTCTTTTGCTTCTTCACGTAAAAGAAACTTTGTAATTTCCTATAGAGACAATGGAAAGATAGTTCAGTCTTATTTTACAGCATGGTTGATTGAATTTTTAAAAATCTTAAATTGATACTGACAGCTTAGTTTAGGAAAGTTTCTTTCAGTTTGTAAATTCTTATAAGTAAAACTATATGGTACCCTCTTTAGTAGCTTCTCACTCAGATTTTTCTTCCTATCCTGGCCCTTGGCTTCTGAGAACTTCAGCCTTGGACGTCCCTAGACTTGGTCCCTGACCCCACCGTTACAGCAGCTTGTTCTGCTCCCCTGGGTCCTTAGTGGGCATCACTAGGAGACTATGAGCCTTGAGCTAGTGACTCCCAAGCAGGACGTCATGCAGAGCCTTCTCCAGAGAATCAAAGGCAGGCCTGGGATGCTGAATGAGGTTCACCAGGGACAGATTTTATCTTAGGAGGCAGGTGGTTGTAAATGTGCCAACAAATCACTGGACCAGCCTGCACCCCAGGATCATCCACAGGGCATAGAGGAGGACTCCCAGGCCAAACTCCATGCCTCTACACTATGGCTCTGGGCACAAGGCTAGAGCTACCGCTTCCTGTTTAAAATCTCTCTGACAAATGCTAAAATCTGTCCAAGAATAGGACCTTATGCACCAATCAAAAATAATTATCAATCACAAAGGAGTTTATATTTGTTAGCCCTCTTCTGCAAACTCCCTGCTGTGGTTCTTGGGCCTATAGAACAATTGAAAATGTTCTTGTATAGATTGAGAGTGGGGGTCACTTTCTCTTGGAGTGTTCTTAGTGTTATGCAAGACAGGAAAGGCCCATCACCGCTAGAATCTTGACTATTGTACCTACTGACAGCTATGTACAGTCCATGCTATTTAAATATGAGTGAAAGAAACAATAGCCGTGTCATTTCTCCCCTTTAAGTTTTTCCTTCAAAAAACCTATGTTCATCTTCATTGTATAATCTTACTGGTATGTATCCTTGACCCCTTTGCTCAGCAAATATCATAAAATCTACACAACATATGACTCAAAAATATTTCCTTCCTAACACACACAAAATTTGTTGGATATTCCGTGAGTTATAGCAGAAGTTTAAAAGTTCATAATTGCTTAAAGAATTCACTGAAAGGAGAAGAAAGTTTGCCTTTGCACATTAATAACTCAGCCAGATTTGCTATCAACCTTCAGGGCTATCATCACAAAAAGCTTTTTTTTTTTTGAGTTTTGTGCTATTTACCAATGTTGACACCACTGACAGATGAATTCCGAAAATTTGATTAACTGTGTTCATAATAAATTTACACTTGGTGTGTGTTTGTTCATTTATTAAATATTTATGCAACAGTTGGTATTTTGAGGTAATTGTTAAGATGATCAATCAAAAAGGAATCCCCTGACAAAATGAATAAATTAAATATGACATTCATGCATTTTATGATGTATTTTATAAATTGACCAAGCATATTATGGAGATTTGGTGGCGAGTTAGAAGCAGAATCCCTATTCATAAATGATTTAATATGTATTAGCTTTCCATGTAAGATATTTCTGCAATGGTATATATTATACAGATGAGTAATAATATATTTTAAAATATCTTAATTTATTTTTAAATAAAATTTGCTGAGATATAACATATACAAAAAATTCTACTGACTTCTGGTTTCAGCGCAGACATGTAAAGAACTTGGAAGGTGTCTCTTAGGTTCTTACAACAGCAAAAATCTCAACAAAATGAAAATCAATGGCTTTTCCTGTACCTATCAAGTAAGTGAGGCAAGGGAAACCACCACCATAAAATCTGGAGAGATGGTTGAATTTAGAGAGTCACAGGAAAGTTCTGCTTTTCTAGAGCAGAAGCTGCTCACGCCATAGTGGTAGGAACACAAATGGTAACTGACAAATTCCTGGAGACTGTGTGAACCAGCTTGCAAGTTAGAAATTCCTTAGCTGCAGTCTTGGGGGAGTTACCTTACTTTCATGGGGTTAGCCTCCAGGAATCTTACCAAGTTTTCATGGTTAAGATTCAAGAACCCCACATCCCCTCAGAGGGATGAGTTTTTAGATAAAACTTTAGAACAATATCCATGAAAGAAACCATAGGTAATTTGGACTTCACTAAAATGAAAACCTTCCACTCCTCAAAAGACATGTTAAGAGAATAAAAAAGACAAGTCACAGAATGGGAGATAATATTTGCAAAACACATACCTGATAAAGAATTTGGATCCAAAATATACAAAGAAGTTTTAAGTCTAACATGAAGGAAACAACTAACCCAATTAAAATTAGGCGAAAGATATGAACAGACACTTTACCAAAGAAGGTGTACACATGGTAAATAAACATAGGAAAGATGACAACATCATTTGTCATCATGGAAATGCAAATTAATTACTACAATGAGATACTACTATGTACCTATTAAAAGGGCTGATACCCAAAAAACCGACACTACCAATTACTGGTGAGAATGCAGAACTACAGGAACTCTCATTCATTCCTGGTGGGAATACAAAATGGTATAACCACGTTGAAGACAGTTTGGAAGCTTCTTGCAAAGTTAAATACAGTCTTATCATACAATCCAGCAATCCTGACCCTCACCATTTACCTAATTGATTTGCATAAATACAGATGGTTACATATATATACACGTGTGTGTGTGTGTGTGTTTATACATGAGTTAATGTGCACATGTACCCCCTTGCTCTGTCCACTGAGAGATCCTAGGAGTGACTATACTCTGGTAGCAAAACTCATACTTTTTACCCAGATCTAGGTTTCTAATATCATTTTCCAACAAAGTAACTCCAGCTCCTTGGAGCAATGATTTTTTTTTTTTTTTTTTTTTTGTAAGGGGGCCTCTCACTCTTTTGGCCTTTCCCGTTGCAGGGCACAGGCTCCAGACGCGCAGGCTCAGCGGCCATAGCTCACGGGTCCAGACGCTCCGCGGCATGTGGGATCTTCCCGGACCGGGGCACGAACCCGTGTCCCCTGTATCGGCAGGCGGACTCTCAACCACTGTGCCACCAGCGAAGCCCCACTATAAATGTACTTTTGTAGCTCAGAGTATATTTAGTATTTAAGATCTGAGTCTAATTCCCTGCATCTAGACCTACCAGTTATCAACTGGGTGCTGGGCATTTTCCTAAGCCTCAATTGTTTATTATTTATTTTTTAACATTTGAGGATAAAACTACTTTATTGTAAAGCTTAAATGATGTATAGACATTATTTGATACCATGATTTTTGGGGAAAAAAATATTCTTAAAGGATTGCTACTATAGTTTTCTACCTGCAAACAGAACTTACATAATTATGTAAATCTAGCATTTAAAAATCTTTAATAAGCAAATTAGAACTGCGACTCTTTTCCATTTTCAGTCAAAACTAAAGCTCAAATCACCGAATACAAAAATTTAGGTTTATATTTTTGTAAGCAGCACATTGATAACTTATGTATTTGTCTAATACCAAGTCTGAGGATTAGCTTTTGATAACATCTTAACCCAATTTGGCATTTCTACATATGCTTAAGTGTCTAGACCAATATTTTGCAGTACATATTTTCCTGATGCTGAAAATGTTCTTTATTTGTGTTCTGAAATATGCTAGCCACTACCCACATGTGGCTTTTTAGGACTTGAAATATGACTGGTGTGACTGAATAATTGAATTTAAAATTTTATTTCATTGTAATTAATGTAAATGTACAATAAATAGCCACATGTGGCCACGTGTAAGTGCTGAGGAAAAAAAATCTAAACCAAAAATCATTGATATCTAAATAGATCAAATAATTCACAGAAGTTTCCCAATTACGCCTATTGTTTTTAATCAATGTCAAAGTGATCATTTGCCTTTTTATCTCGAAACTTTTTCATTGTCCCTCATTTTTTACCCTAGAATATATCTTAGTAGATAACATTATGCCAAAAGGAAAAAAAAAATCACATAAAGCTAATGGCAAACCACAGTAATCAAAAGTTTTTCTTAAACTCTTTGATATGGTTCAACAAATAATTTTGTGTTTTTAGTGTAATCTCTATGTCTTGATTTTATTATCTGTAAGACGCTGATAACACTAGGAAGACCTACTCCATATAATTTTGAATTAGCCAACCAAAGGAACGCATACATGATAACATATCATGCTTTACAAAGCATGAAGTCAGGATAATGAGGTGGTTAAGAGCAAGAGCTTGGAGGTCAAACCAGTCTGGGCTCAATGATAGCACTGCCATTTAATAATTGTACTGCACCGAACATACTATTTACCTGCTCTAAGTTTCAGATTCATCATCTGTAAAATATCGGTAATAATGCTGAGCTTCAAAGATGTTTGTGTAGATTAAGTAAGACAATGTTGATAAAGCCCTTGGCACTGAGTGCAGAGAGGTTGGCAAAAGGTAATAGCTCAAAAGAGCAGCCGTGTTAGTGTGGTTACTACTGCTGTTGTTACAAAAACATGAGAAATACAACTTCTTTTTCTGAGGATGTTTTTTAAGTGCTGATTGTCAAGTTGAAAGATATATCCCCCAACATATGAATTCAAAAATAATTTGAATAGACTTTGCTTTAATTATAAGACAACTACGGTTAGTGATGATTTTTTAAATAAAGCAGATGGGAATCTCTCTGAAAAAGACTGAAGATTTTTAAAAAGTGAAACAGTGAAAAAAATAAATAAAATAACTATAGAACACAAAGGTGATGGGGTGTCAGAAATGGATGAATGCCTTCTGGCTGCACTGAGGCACCCATGCAGTACGTTTTTCAGCAATCTGCGTGTCCTGAGTCCCCCTTAGGCAGTAAAAGTAAGGAGTATAGTTGACTGATCCTAGAAATTATGATTAGTGGCTTGGCAACACAGCCATTTTTGTTGCCTGCTTTTTGTCTAAATTTAACATGGCAAATGTTCTAAATAAGTAAACTTTTCTGAACTCTCTAATGAAAATTAATGAGGTGGCTGGCTAAGTCACTTGGAATTTAGGGGGTTGCAGTGAAGACACATCCTCAGATGACTTTAATTTTTAGAGTTCTTCAAAGAATATACAGGAAAGTAAATGAACAGAAAGTTTTCTCACTTTGAACAGTTTGAATCACTATTTAGCCAGACATAAAACATGATGGTGTTTCTCAGGAGCTTGAAGATCATGGAGAAAAAAAAAAAAAAAGATGTATCTTTGGCAAACCTCCAGACCAAGACTGCAGTTGCTTCCCCTAGCATCCCACAATTCAGTGGATTCAGCCCACAGCCCTTCAAAGTTCTCCTTACATTTCTGTTTATTTCATGGACTCTGATGAGTCATGGTTTCAGCTAACTTTCTTCTCTTCACTTCTACATTCTTGCATCATCTACTTTCTTCCCTGTTTGAGATTTGAACTCCTTTACGAATGAATTTTTTTTTAATAGTCATTCTCTATTATAGGGTCTTTTTATAATCAAGTAGTTACAGGAAAATGATTAGGCCACTTCCTAGCTATAGATCAGCTGCTTTGGTGCCATTTCCACTCATTGTTCATCCAGCTAAGGTTAGAGCTTCAGGGTTACATGCTACAAAAACACAATTGAAGAATAAAGTGATCTCCAGAGCAATACTGTTAGCTAGCATTGCTCTTGACCTTTCAAGTACAAATACGTTTTTCCTTTTGGTAGAAAAATATATGACAGGTTTATTTGCAGTCTGCTTAGACTCTCATCTGAAAATTTGCTCATTACATAGCTAAAAACGTATGCACATTTTTAGTCATAAACTTCTCTGGGTGTGTTAATGACATGTCAGATCTTACCTGTAATGACATGAAATCCACTTCTTAATTTTTAATCTACCATATTAAGGAAAGTACACAAAAAAACCCCAATTACTTTTGTAAAGAATTAACTACTACATTTGGAACTACATTTCTGAACACAGTTCCATTTTATGATTTTTAAAAATAATTCTCTATTTCAAAACTGCATTTTTTTGAATAAAATTTAATAATAATGTCAGATTCATGAATAATATCTACTTGTGGGAAACACTGTATTACCTGTCAGTTAGAAAATTAATCAAGGTAGAATAGTTTACATTTTGATTTTTAAAGATGATGTAAATGGTATTATTTAATTAATAATATACTAAAAATTACTCATAATTACATAAATCTGAAGCTGAAATCACATTACTTGTGGGTTAGATATTTGGTGATCTAGATCTTATCAAAGAAAAATTTCATTCAGATATTTCAAAATATTTTGCATAAAAATTTTAGGGCATAATTCATAAATCATTTTCTAGTCAAGACTAAAAACTAAATTTGTTTTTACCTACCCAGTGTTATCTACAATGGACGTCTTTGCTAAAATTGTAATAAAATATATAAAAACATAAGGTTAAAGCATTTAGCATAGTCTCTTTTCTTCTATCCAAACAGTTAAAAAATTAATCAACAAGCACTTTATTTTATTATTTATTAATTTTTATTGCGGTAAAATTGACATATAACACTGTGTTAGCTTCAGGTGTACAACATAATGGTTTGATATTTGTATATATTGCAACATGTTCACAACAAGTTTAGTTAACATTTGTCACCATGTATAGTTATAGAAATCTTCTTTTCTTTGTTTTTTTTTTTGAGGACTTTAAGATTTATTCTTCTTAGTAACTTTTAAATACACAATAGAGTATTATTAACTATATTCCCCATGCTGTACTTGCCATCCCCATGACTTATTTATTTTATAGCTGGAAGTTTGTACATTTTGACTCCCTTCACCAATTTTGCCCATCTACCTCCTACTTCCAGCTCCACCCCCAGCAACTATCAAACTGTTATCTCTATCTATGAGCTTGTTTTGTTGTTGTTGTTTGTTTATTTGTTTGTTTAGATTGCACATGTAAGTGAGTTCATATGGTATTTGTCTTTCTCTGTCTGATTTATTTCACTTAGCATAATGCCCTTAAGGTCCATCCATGTTATCACAAATGGCAGGATGTCACTCATTTTTATGGCTAACTAGTATTTCATTGTGTGCATGTGTGTACATATACATACACCGCATCTTCTTTATCCATTCATCTATCGATGGACACTCCAGTTATGTGTGTCCATATCTTGGCTATTGCGAATAATGTTGCTATGCGCATTGGGGTGTACATAGCTTTTCAAATTAGTGTTTTCATTTTCTTCACATAAATACCCCAAAGTGGAATTGCTGTATCATATGATAATTCTATTTTTATTTTTTTAAGAACCTCTATAGTGTTTCTACAGTAGCTGCACCAATTTACATTCCCATCAGCAGTGCACAAGAGTTTCCTTTTCTCCACAACCTCGACAAAATTTATCTCTTACCTTTTTTTATAATAGCCATTTAACAGGTGTGAGGTGATCTCATTGTGGTTTTGATTTGCATTTCTCTGGTTAGTGATGTTGAGCATCTTTTCATGTGCCTGTTAGTTGTCTGTATGTCTTCGTTGGAAAAATACCTATTCAGATACCTGCTAATTTTTTAATCAGGTTGTTTGTTTTCTGCTATTCCATTGTATGAGGTTTTATTTTTTAAATGTATTTTGTATTTAACCCCTTGTCAGATATATGATTTGCAAATACTGTTTCCCAGTCAATAGATTGCCTCTTCATTTTGTTGATGATTTCCTTTCCTGTGCAGAAGCTTTTTAATTTGATGTGGTCCCACTTGTTTACTTTGGCTTTTGTTGCCTTTGCTTTTGGAATTAGATTCAAAAAGTCATTGCTGATACCAATGTCAAGGAACTTACCACATATGTTTTCTTCTATGAATTTTATGGTTTCTGGTATTACAAACATTTATTTTTAATGCAGACACTCACAAGGGATCTGTATTGCTAAATTTGAATTCAGTGAGTACAGGGTATATTCTGACAATATGCGTCTTGAAATTCATCCCTAAGTGCTTACAGTGTAATCTTTGGTCGATCATCAGTCAGTAGAGCCACAAAAGCATGATTCATAAAATAAAAAATGGACACATTAGACATTATAAAAGTTAAAAAATATCTTTTTTCTGGAAGTCACTATGAAGATAATGAAAAGACAAGCCTTAGGCTGGGAGAAATTATATGCAAAGGAAATATCTATAAAGGGTTTGTATCAAGAATGAATAATGGGGACTTCCCTGGTGGCGCCGTGGGTAGGACCCCTCGCTCGCAACGTAGAGGGTCCGGGTTTGATCCCTAGGCAGGGAACTAGATCCCACATGCGTGCTGCAGCTAAGAGTTCGCATGCCGCAGCTAAGGAGCCCATGTGCCACATCTAAGACCCAGCACAACCAAATAAATAAATAAATACAAAGAATGAATAATGTACTGTCAAAACACACACAAAAAACAATTCAATTAAAAAATGGGCAAAAGATATGAACAAACTTTTCACCCAAGAAAATAACAGCAATTGTGCATTATTATCTGTTGTTGCATAGTAATGTTGACACACTTAGCAGTTTAAACAAAATACCTTTATTATCTCACAGTACCTGTGGGTTGGGAATATTAGCAATGGCTTAGCTGGGCCCTCTGCTTCAGAGTCTCTCACTAGACTGCAGTCAAGATATTGTCCAGGGATGGGGTCTCTTGTAAGACTCACTGGGTGAAAGATCTACTTCCAAATTTAGGTGGTTGCTAGCAGGATTCAGTTTCCTGCAGTTGTCAAACTGATGGGCTCCTTTCTTTGCTGGTTATTGGCCAGAGGCTACCCTCAGCTCTTTGTCACATGAGCTTCTGTATTCTGTTGATTACAATTAAGTCACAAAATCCCCTCCATGCTAAAGAAAAAGGAGGGAGATTTTACACAAAGGCATGAAATATAACAAGATGTGGGGATAACTGGGGCCATCTCAGAGTCTGCCTGCCACAGTAAGCAAATAATCACATGAAAAGATGTACACTATAGGGTTTCCCTGGTGGCGCAGTGGCTGAGAGTCAGCCTGCCAATGCAGGGGACATGGGTTCGTGCCCTGGTCCGGAAAGATCCCACATGCCGCGGAGCGGCTGGGCCCATGAGCCATGGCCGCTGAGCCTGCGCGTCCGGAGCCTGTGCTCTGCAACGGGAGAGGCCACAACAGTGAGAGACCCATGTACCGCAAAAAAAAAAAAAAAGAAAAGATGCACAATATAATTTGTCTTTAGGGAAATTCAAATTAAAACCACAATGAGATGTTGCTAGCCATATATTATAATGGGTGAAATTTAAAAGGCTGATCATACCAGGTGATGGCTACTATATAGAATAACTGGAACTCTAATACATTGCTTGTGAATATGTAAAATGGTACAACCATTTTGGAAAACATCTTGGCAGTTTCTAAAAAAGTTAATCTTATACATACCTTATGATTCACCAGTTATTCCACTTCTAGGCATTTAATAAACATGAGGAAAGAAAGCACAAGTCCATGTACAAGAAAGTCCATAGCAGTTTTATTTGTAATAGTCAAAAAACTGAAAAGAACCCAAACAAACATCAATTTATAGAAGGACAAACAAGCTGTCATATATCCCTACCCAGCAATACAATGGAATGAACTATTGATTTCTACAGCGTTGATGAATGCCAAATAATTAAGCTGAATGAAGGAGGCCAGACCAAAAAAAAAAAAAAAGAATACATATGGTATGATTCCATTATATAAAATTGTAGGAAATCCCAA